TTAAAACATTTTTACACATTTAATCATATATTTTATGTATGTTGACTTTTGTTATGCACTTATTTACAGCAATCGATTTATACATTTATAATAAACTATAAAGCATGTTGTCCTTGAACAGTCTCCACTATAGTTTGCTGTGCTGCATGGGAGTGCTCCAGTCACTCACAGAAAGGAGTGTGAATTGTATAAACCATACATTCACACTCCTTTCTGTGAGTGACGAGCACTCATAATGCAGCACAGCAAACTATAGTGGACTGATCTACCTGACCCTACTGATCTGGAGAGGAGGAAAAAAATGATGCATCAAGTTTTGTTCAATTAACATTTATTTGTATTGCACTTTTTAATATACACATTGTTTCAAAGCAGCTTTACAGAAAATGAATGTTTCTACATTACAATTAAGAGTTCTGTTAACAGGTGTAACTGTGCAAAAGTAATGTTCATATGGCAGAAATGTTCTGAAATTAGGCTATACAAATCATGCAGTTAAGTAACGTCATGTATTCAGAAACAGTTAAATATATACAGAAAAAATGAACAACTTAAAGCAATGGTTACGTGATGTGATCATGTTGATTACAATGCAAGGCACATGTAGCAGTTTTGTATGTTTATTCAGAGTCCGCTTCATCTGAAGTCCTCTCGAGGGTTGGGTCACCTGAAGTCTTCGTAAGAGGCTGGGTCATCTCTTCACGTCATCTCTTCACAGGTGTTGGGTCATCTGAAGTCCTCGTAAGAGGCTGGATATAGTCAGCAGGAGCAATCTATAGATTACACCAACAAAATGTGATGCAATCATACTAGGGAACTGTCACTTTTTCACAAAGAGCAGGGAAAGACTTGCCAAAACCAGTGAAGAGACTCATTGTGAGGGTGATGTCTCTTTACAGGGAGTCTTCAGGTGGTTCTCGTTCTGAAAGCAAGATAGCGAAGGAGAAAAACAGGAGAAATGGTTAAGTGATGCTCCATCACATTGCAGTCCTGGCATCACTGCTCCTTCAACACAGTACTTCTTTAGTAGCTAAGACGTTTAAGTATAAAATACAGTAATAATAGTAATAATGTCTGTGATATATATAATATAATAATATATTGGTATATAATAATACCTTTTTTTGGAAATTTAGCCTAGCATGATTCTGAAATGAAAACTGCTCGTCTATTTCAAACTTTTCATTCTCACTTAGGTCCATCTGCATCCTTTTCAATATATCCAAGTCTATTAAATAACTCCCCACCAGCAAAATCACTTTTAAAAGCCTTAATTACACAACGATGGATGAAACTGCATGAAGAGAATGAATAACATCCCGTAAATCTACTAATTAAGTGAGGAATAATCTAATAATAATCTGTTTTAATGCACAGGGTAATTTGATTAGCTGTGCTGATAATATACTATTTTGTTCTATAAATGTCTTACCTTTTAAAAGTTCATCACAGCGGTCTCTTCTGCTGCATCTCTACGGCGCTGATAGTATTAGCGCTAACTTCCGGGAACTATTGAGCGGCTCCACGATCCGCCATTGCTGTAAAAAACTGGTCCATTGGAGTGAACGGAGTTGTCGCAACTCTCTCTCTACAGCTCTGAGCTCAGCTCTCCCCGGCCTCCCCCTACTCTACTCTATCAGTAGCGGTTGTAATTACATCAGCAGATTCGGCACATTCGCGATAGAAAACCGACGCTTTCACGTTATGGTATTACAACTGTGAAATTACAAACAAAAAATACACATTCTGAGACATTAACTGCAATGAATTGTGAATTTTATTAACATTAAATCGTCCTCCTCCCATTTTCACCTCAAAATTATGGGGAAGCTGTGCCTCCCCTGCCTCCCCCGACCAGCCGCCACTGACTGAGATACAGTTTAGCACCACAATTTGTAACCAAAAACTTTTAATTAGCCTATACCATCTTTTAAAACACTCACCGCTTAACCCCAAAGATCTCTGGAGAATGTTTACCAGCAGTAATCGAGCCTGGTCACTTGCTTCTCTCTTCTTGTTGTTAAACACATGGTATCTCTGATCATATTTCTCAACAAGTGTCTTCAACCCATTATTTCTATCAAGCAATTCTTGTATTGTCAGGTTGTCTTCCTCCAGTTCGTCTCCTCTGGTGAAGAGAATCCAGGTTTTATTCAGGCGCTCTTCTCCCAGCAGCTTCTCAATCTTCTCCACAGTTTTTCTCTCTTCTTCAGTGAAACTATCAGCTTTGATGACCAGCATAAACACACAGTGACCTGATTCACATCTCTGAAGAACATTTTCTGCTGAATCTCATCTTCACTCAGTTCTGGGTCACAGAATCCTGGTGTGTCATAGACATTGACTGGAAATCCATCAACCGTCCCAGATTCAACAGTGTTATCAGGCGTGACAGAACCAGATCTTCTCCTTGATATGAAAGCTTCTCGTCCCAGTATTGTGTTTCCTGACACACTCTTCCCAGCTCGTTTTTTCCCCAGTAAAATCAAGTTTAAATATGCTTTAGGTTCCATTTTTGTTGTGTGGCCTACAACTAAATAGGAAAAAATTATGTGAGACAGCAAAGACTAATTTATTTAGTAATTTACTAATTTAGGTTTATTCTCTCTAATCTTTTCTCTCTCTCTCTTTTCCTTGAGAGACTTTAATGTTTTGCCCTAACTAGCAATGACTTGTTCACACTGGGTTTGTAAGCACCAAACCTTTATGAATCCATAAAGGTTAATTTTATATTAAATATTTTGTTAAAGTATGTTTTCATAATATACTTCATAGCACCTGTAAGTATTTGTAAGGAGATCAATAAAATTGAAACCTAAGCTCTAAGTGCTCCACTCAAAATGATGCAGCTCTTGTACACATTAAGTTACTATAAGTGTATAACATGATTATGATTTGATTTAATAACAGTAAAACAGAACCAAGCAAGCTTACAGAAATACATGCTGTCTGATAAAATGTAAATTAGATGCCACATAGGAGACTGCAGTGTATTTCATTAGGAATGGTGTTGTTACGTTTTGTTTATTTTTAGTTATTTTATGCAAATTCCCTGCATAAAAACATTCCCTGTTTGTCTGACAGTTTTACGTATTTTTCTTTTTAGTCTGAAATATATAGTAATGGAAAAAAAAATCTGATATTTATTGATAAATCCACCAAAGTCTCTCCATAAAATGTTTCAGTGTCTTACTATTAGCTTTACCAGTAAGATTAAATGTCTCCATAAGACCGTCAATAATACATTTACAGCATATGTTTCCTGAATACAGTTGTATTGTATCATTATACTTCACAGTAATATTAAGTCAAGTTTTACTCTATCACTTTTATGACAAATTTTGTATTTCCTGTTTATTTCTGACTTATCATAGCATATTAAGTCAATTAATAATTGAAAACAACTTTTAAAATGGATCATATTAAGCAGTGCAGTCAAACCTGTTTCTCTCTGTGTGTCAATCTGTCAAGCTCCGGAAGTCCAAATGAAAGTTTTCTGCTGGTCTTTATATAGACACATAAACAGCCGGTGGTTAGTGAAATGACACATCAGAAAGTCAAAGTGATTTTTTTTCGGTAACTCTTTATTTTAAGGCGTCCTTGTTACACATGTTACATGTACTTACTATTATAATAACAATAAACTATGCATAATTACATGCAAGTAACCCTAAACCAAACCCTAACCATATAGTAAGTACATCATTAATATTACTCACACCTTACACCTAAAAATAAAGTGTAGAAATTTGTGACTTCTGCCATATTTAGATGCGTATGCATGTAAATCTGTTCTTAAGCTCATCTGGTTTAGATGCACCTTGATTATTTTAAACGTGTAAGCTGATAAACACAGTGAGTAATAGGTACATGTCCAAAATGTTGACACAATCTCTCCTGTGCAGCCGTTCATCACTTTCTGAAAACATGCTCTCTAAAGATAATTTTAAAGTAAAGCCAAGAATGCCATATTTGCAAAAATTTTTTTTTAAAACAAGTATTTTTAATGTATTAATTATGCCTTGTAATGCAACTTATAATACACATTTATTCACTAAACACATGGACCTTTAGAAAGTAAAATGCATTAAAACATGACAGAACAACCAATTTAAGATGTAACAAGGAATCTGCAAATATTATAATAATGATTTTATATTTAGTTACAATAATTTATGAAATGATAGAATACTTAACATACATTATAAATACATATAAAATGAATTATACAAGTTTTATTATACAAGTATTCTGTAGTTTTTGTTTTATATAGATTACACATGATAATCTAAACTTTTTACAGAAGCCCAGTTCAAGCAGTTATATATAATTTTTGTTACTCTGAAAAAAAAAAAAATACATTCTCAGTTTTTTCAATTTATATTTTTTATATATATATATATATATATATATATATATATATATAAATTGAAAATATTAATAAAACTGTAATAAGTATATTACCCTGATCGGAAAAAAATCGGATAAAAAGATGATTTTTAAGATAAAAGTGACAATTAATTTTTTTTTGTTACAGCTGATCCTGATGAACTTTTCCCAACTCTTCTCCAGATGGACAATATTATTGTCCTTGTGTTTCAACAGGAAGATATTTTGAGCCTCCATCTCATCGTATTTACATTTTTTCTCCGTGATAAAGTTTACAGCTGGTGAAGACCTACATTCTTTGAAGGCTGATGGAGGAGCTGAGGAATGAATTGAGATCCTCTGTAATGATCTGCAGATGCGATGTCTCTGCCTGTCAGATTATTTGATTACACAGTAGATTATTATCAGACACACTAACAGACGATGACAAAACAAATAAATGACAGACTGAAAAGACTCCCTTCAGGTCTAAAGACAGCATGATGAACTTTTATATTTGTCTGTGAATTTAGACAGTCTGAATCAGTCTTTTCATATAAGTAGATCATCATATTTTTTCCACATACTGTCTGCTGAGCTTTAAGACCTGCAGAAGAGAAAATCATAAGCATAATTATGAGCTTAATTATCCAGCAACTACAAACATGTTTATTTTAGAAAACTGCTTGTGATGCCATTATAACAGGGCTGCCCAACCCTGTTCCTGGAGAGCTACCTTCCTGCAGAGTTCAGCTCAAACCCTGATCAAACACATCTGAACCAACTAATTAGGATCTGAAGGAGCACTTGATAATTACAGACAGGTCTGTTTGATCAGGGCTGGAACTGAACTCTGCAGGAAGGTAGATCTCCAGGACCAGGGTTGGGCAGCCCTGCATTATAATAATGAAGCACAGGGTTTCCTAAACATTCTTATTTAAACGTTCACATGAAACATTCTTATTTATAGAAATTTCCACCTACATAATTTAGTGTAATGTTTCACCCACAGCGTAAAGCATAAGACATCAATTCATGCCCATATCACACAAACGTCAGTATCTTTTATACGAGGCCTGAAGACCTTTAAATATGATGTGCTGTTTGTTTAGCGTGTACATCAGGGATGTGTGTTCAGCATTGTGGCTGATTTAGTGATTTTATGTGACAAGTTAAAAGTATTGGTTTTATTGTTTTTCCCATTCTTTACTATGTGGGTTCTGGGCAAACATCCCCAAATATCCAGAGTGTGACTTTTTTTTTTTTTTGTAAATTTATTTATTTTTTGTGGTCACACGTCATTGTATTTAGATGTCCTGGTTATAACACACAAACATCTGAAATCTCCATACAGTATTTCCACAGGCTCTTGATTATTTACCAGTCCAGCAGGGTCATAGCCACCATTATAACTGAGTGGATGCGTCCCTCTTCCGTTTTAAAAGTCTACCTTTGCCTGACAGATAGTGCCACTGCCACAGGCGATGGTTCACATGAGTTTGTTCATGAGATTGAAAGGTAAATAAAAGCATATATATATATAGAGAGAGAGAGAGAGAGAGAGAGAGAGAGAGAGAAGGAGAGAGCTGGGTATTATACCTAATTTCATTTAATCTGGATATAATTAGATTCCATTACATTTTAAAATACTTGTAATAAGACTGCAGTTACTTTTTGATTACATGATTATATATTAGTCACTCAATAGCAATAAATTATTCTGAATTTATTGATTCTCCCTAATTCTTTTTCATTTTGTACAATTTCCATTCTAAAATGCCTACCGTTTATTTAAGCTCAAAAAGTCTTCCAGTTTTGTGGACAATCACACAAAGACCAGTCATTGGTCAGGTGGCCACACAGCATTTGACCACTGGATTCACAAAAATCATTACAGGTTTAAGAAGTTTTTACTCAACATTTCAACATTGCATCAACTACTAATGAACACGTTAATGTTTATTTGAAATATCTCTCAGTGGGTTACTTAACCATGTATTACTATGTCTTTGGAAGGCTTTTTGCCTTTCAAACACATTAAAATGCACAAATTCACATTATTTCTTATTCATGTATTGCAGGGATTGTGCAACTTTTTAATTATTGAAACTCTTTCACCTAATATATTTACTTGGAAGTACCCTCTAAGATTATAATAGTTTAATTAGGCTAAATTAATATAATTAATTTTAATAATAGCCCCCCAAGTAAATGTACACATTTGTACAATGTGTAAGATCGATGCAGCACATTTGCATGTTCACGATTGTCTAATTTCTGAGTTATATTCAAATTATAGCTAAACCTGAACATTGAAAGTCTTCTGAATTTCAAATAACATAAAAATGATTCCAGCCAAAAGCTGAAAAATATGCATTGCACAGAGAGTATGGCATATACTGATTTGCAAAAGGAGGCTTTTTAGAAAACTACCAAACCTGCTTAAGTGTAGTTAAGTTAGTGAAAATTTGATCACGTATGATCCAGATAGCAAAAGTACATCTGCAAGACGTCTGTTAAAGATCACTTGATTTGGAAAGCATCTGCAAACATCCGACAGACGTCTGTAAGATGTCAGTTTTACATAGCCTACTTTTTAGATCATCTTAAAGGCTACATCTTGCAGATATAAATGCAGATGTTAAATAGACTTCAATGTGATGTACGTGCGCTATATTGTTATGCAGAAACTCAGATGTGAGTTACAGATTTTGTCAGTAGGAGACATGCACACTGACTGGTTAAATTAAAATTTAATCTCGCTGAGGAAAATAAAGACTACATTGAAAACAAACACTGACATGTCTGCACAGGCTGTATAAAACTCAGATACCTGACTGTCTGGAGCAGCTTGAAAGCAGCCATACATTTTGTGATATGGATGCCAAACACTAACCCAAATAGAGGAGACCAGGTATGGTTGTAACACTTTTTGTTCCAGCATCTGTAACTCGCTGAATTTTTGAGCTAGAGTGTTCAAACTTTTATACAAAGCACCCACATTTGTTCACTACAAACGGCACCAATTCAAACCTCTACAAGAATATCACAGCCCTTATAAATTTATGTTAAATACATGGAGTGCCTTTGTTACAATCTACCCCACTGCAGGGGTGTTGTAACACATGCTGGGTAGAATTGTAACAGTCAGACAAAAGAAGCAAAAACAGCAGCCACCCCATGAAGTTTGCTTCAAAAACATGTTTATTGAAACAATCTAAAAGAACTATACAAAACAATGGTGCACTTTCTACGAATGACCACAGCTCAAATCCACTTTCTCTTCGATGCAAGAGTGTGTGCGAGTGTGTAAATTACATTACTATAGAACAAACTTCCATAACAGTATTTATGCTTACTGAACACTCAACTCCAGTTTACAGAGGTAAAGAATATGTAGATCTAACAAAAAACTGTGTTAATTCGTGTCTGATATTGTGTCTATGTATGATTTTTCTCAACCAGAGTCATGTCAACCCAATGTTTTTAACCCTAGAGTGCAGGCTTGGTGGATCCAGAAACTGCATAGGGCACATATTACCCACACTTCCTTTGGTTTTGAGCTGCCAAAAAAGCTCCATATAGACAACATGAAAGTTCTCAGTTCTATGTAAGGGAATGCTAAAATGTGTTACAACTTACCCCACCCCTGTCATCCAATGTTTAGTTAGCTGTATTAGCATAATGGTTTGAAATTAGCAGTTTAAAAATTCATCACATTTTGCCTGAGAATCTATAATTTATTCTTATGTAAGTTATATGATTTAATCTGCAACGGTTTAAGTATTAAGCAAAATATAGTTTTGGTAACTTTGATTCTTACACCAAAATCATTTTTTTCTTTATCCCCTTAACTGTCACCCCCCATTTTTTAAAATAGGCATGCAGGTGCACTATCCAAACTTAAATTGTTGTAATTTATGAACACTTTGTAATACAGACATAAGGTTGGTCTCTTTTTAAAGAAGAAAATCAGCAGATTATCGCAAAAGTGGAATGTTAAAATTAAATTAATGTATCAAAAAGTTATGGTAGTTTAAATGTTCTGTAAAGAAAATGCACTATATTAATTTTATTTTATATATAAATATTTTACATAACAGGTTTTACTCTAAAATTGGTATAAAATTAAAGCCTTATGTCTCATCTTGGGCTTCTAAGCTTTCTAATGATATATGATTGATTACTAAAAGATTTGATTGAGAAAAAGGACAACAAAAAAAAGAGCGCCAAGCGTTCCACAGGTGGGACGGTGACAGTTAAGGGGTTAAAAATCTGCATATATCTATTTACAGCCTTGACAACCATTCATATAAGATCGGGGAGGAAATGGGTGAATAATTATTTCACCATAGGACTCCCAGCTTATCCCTGATAGGTGGAAATGGTGTTGTTACAACTCTCCCCATGTTACAACCATACCCGTTCTTCACTACACAGCAGAATTTAGAAAACAAGCCCCAAAGAACCACAACTTTCCTCAAAGCATGAAACCAATTAAATGATGTAAATGTCTGTTTTATATTGTTATTCACTAAACATTTACAAATCTTTTGTTTCAAATCAGTGGTTCAAGAGCTTGCAGTGAAACTCGGCAAGTCACGTGACTTTAGGAAATGAGGCTTCATTGCATCATGGTCTGAAAACATTTTAAAATTTGAGAAATATGACACTGAGTTGGAGAACCCATGAGTGTCTAATGTTTTAACATGTCTTGGTTCAGATTTATAAAGGCAGGTTCATTTTTAATTGATTAATTTTAATATGAATGCGTGTATAAAACAAAAATGAGAGTGAGATGTACCGTCAAGCCCTGTCTAATAAAACAAGGACAATGTTACAGAAACGTCATATTTAATGCCATTTAATGATTTGCTAATTCATAGACTGAGCTTGCGGGTGAGTTTTAGTTGCATTTACACAATTTTGACCAGCAGCGCGTCACCAGCTCGAAATAGTGAATCAAATACTAAGCAATTTGTTCAGTTGATTTAAAGCTGTGAAAAGCTTATTTTTTCCCACTAGTAGAGACAACAGGAAGAGATGTTGCTTATTCACTAAACATGTTGCTAAGATGTTGCTTAGCTGGAGGGCTTGCAATGATGAGATTGTGGTTTGAATGGGAAGCGTGCAATAACTAATGCTCAACACATCTTAGCTTAAAAACAAAAACACATAATGATGTCACAAATAAATAAGTATAAAAATGAATACAATTGAAGATAGAAATGATAAAAACTGATAAGATGTGGCCATGCTACATGCTTATGAACTTTTAAATAAACAGTTCAGTTTGTCCTGATGGGTGTTTTTATTTTCCAGTTTTGGACATTATTTAATAAACAGGCTCTTTCTGTTCTTCAGCTGTTTTTCTTCTTTCTTCTGCTGGTGTTTTCAGTCTTACAGCTGGATTTCTTGAACATTTGAAGGCGTTTAAAGCTCCTGCTGCATTTGTCCAGCTGTTTGTCCGTCTGTGTCAGGAACTCTAGAGAGAGATGGAGAGTGTTAAAGCAGTAAAACTACAGGACAGTGAGAGAGAAAGAGAAAGAGGGCCGTTTCTCACCCATCCTCTGGATCACAGCAGTCAGCATCGAGTCCTCCTCCTCCTCCCTGATGAAGAACACAAACACATCCATCAGTAATAACACACGACTGTCATGTGACCTCACACTGCTGATCATGTGACCTCTGACCTCTGCCTGTCCTGATCCAGGCTGCTGATGATGTCATTTCTCTGCTGGATGATTGACAGCAGGCGTGACATCAGCTGATCTTCCTGATGTTTGTCATCAGAGCTCCAGTCCTGCTCTGAGAATTACACACACATTCACAATCAACTACAAACTACTGACACACAGTACTCAGATCAGTTCATACACTGCAAACTCTGATGTTCTTCTGAGATTAAAGCAGAATTCATACTAATCAGTATTAAATCACATCAGCACAAACATATTCACATGTATAAACATGCTTGCGTTTCTGGTTACCTGGTTTGTTAAAGAGGCGTCTGATCTCAAACTCCACATCAGCCTGTTGATCCTCCAGACGCTGCTGCTTCACCCTGAAAACATACACACACACGTTACATGTTACACACACATTATTCTGCTCAACATGTAGTGTATCTGTGTGATGTGTGTTAAATGTATGTACTCACATATACACCAGCTCTGTGTCTCTGCGCACTAACATGTTCTTCTCATGAATCAGAAGGAACCAGTCGACTAGAAGATGCTCTGAAACACACACACATTCACAAACACAGACAGTTAGCTTGTCTGTTTATTGCGTCTGTTAGCAGCTACTACAGTAATTTACAGTAGACTAAATACTATAGTTTTTTGAACCATACTACAGTAAAGTGTATTATATTGTAGTATTTACAACACTTTAATGAATGCTATACTGTAGTATTAACTATAATGAACTGATAAACTGTAATACTGTAGTATACTTTAGTTTTTACTACAGTAAACTGTAGTGTATTGTAGTATAATATACCCTATAGTTGTAGAAAACTTAGTACAGTATTTGGTAAAGTAATTTGTTTATATTACTATAGTTGTTATATTACCACAGCAACTATAGACTTACCACAACTAATTAATTCAAGTACTTTACTATAGTATGGGTATGGTATTTATTTACTATAAATTACCATAGTATTTTTTCATGTGGGGTTTGATAGTGTGTCTGTAGCTTGTCTGTTTACCACATCTGTTAGCATGTCTCTTTTAGCACATCTGCTAGCCAGTCTCTTTCATTTCTTTGCATTAGCATTAGCTTGTTGTTGTGTGAGGAGGTTAGGGAGTTTGTTAGGGTTAGCGTGCATGTTGTTGAGTGAGGAGGTTCAGGTGTTTCTCACCATCCGTGCATCTCCTCATCTCTCTCTCCAGCTACACTCCTCTCCTCTATAGTAGCTATGTATGTTGGTCTGTTAGCATTAACATTAACAGTGTACAGTTACTTTTAAAAGTAATGCATTACAATATTGCGTTGCTCCCTAAAAAAGTAACTAATTACATTACTTATTTACTTTTCATGGAAATTAATGCGTTACTTTTGAGTTACTTTTTAAATCTGGGCACGCTTGCTTGTTTGTTTTTAATATAAAAAAAGCTCTTCTTTTGCAAATGCAAAAGCCCCTTTACATCAAAAGTGAAACGAATATGCCTCCCATAATAGGCTGATGGGAATGTAAATTCACGTCTGTTTATAAATTCATTTGACTGGTTTTATTCATTTGAGGAATACTGAATCTGTTTTTGTTCAGTGAGATGAGTAAATGCATGTTCATATTTAGTCTAGAACTATAGTAAGCATCAAGTTCACAAATACCTCTGCACTTACTCCTGATTTCTCTTAACATGGCAACACGAGAGCTGTCAGTCAATACATGGGAAACAGTAACTGTCGTTACTTGTTTGAAAAGTAACTCAGACATTTCCTTCCAAATTAAAAAAAAGTAATGTTTTACTTTACTAGTTACTTGAAAAAAGTAATCTGATTACGTAACTTGTGTTACTTGTAATGCGATACCCACAACACTGAGCATTAACGTATCTGTTGTTGTGTTTCTCACCATTGGTGCGTCTCCTCATCTCAGTCTCCAGCTGCACTCCTCTCCTCTCCAGCTCCAGCAGACGCTCCTCCAGCTTCTTCTGCTCCTCACACACCTGCTTCTCTGACACGCGTGTGTCTGTGATCACCTGAACACACAATCAATCAGTCATGCAAGAACAGAGACTCAAACATCTGATGCTGAAAGAGAGAAGCATATTCAATCCCAAACCTCAGAAGCAGATGGAAATGTTGTGTTTGTGATCCTGTGCTTTATTAATGTGTTAATATCAAAATAATTTAAGGTTTAGACACATCTCAAACTGAATTAAACTTCAGCAGTTGCTACAAATGGTTAATCACAAAGCTCTTTTCATATCTAACATTGAAAGCACAACATTTTTATGAATTTTTTTAAATATGATTACACAGAGAAACAGATGCATGCTAACTGAAACTTAAAAGGGTCATATGATGCGATTTAAATTTTTCCTTTCTCTTTGGAGTGTTACAAGTGAAGAAATTGAAGAAATTATGAATTAAAATAATAATGAAATTTAAGTATTTCGCTCTCTAAGATTGTCTTGTACTGTAAGTGAAGCTCTCTTATCATTAATATGAAGTATTGTTCACTCCAGCAGCACAACAAAGACAGTTTGTGTCTCACCTTCCTCTTGATGAGCAGGAAACCATGAACAGGAGCTGCAGCCTGGTGCATGCTGGGAACTGAAGATGAGGTTTGGGGTTTGTGTGCAACTGAGGTTTCGCAACTGAAAGGGTTTTTCTTGACAAAGAGAAAAACAGAGAGGCAGTCTGATGTTAAAACACACACACACACACACACACACACACACACACACACACACACACGCACACAAACAATATCCTGTGAGACTGCAAAGAGAAAAATAACAACCCACAACCACAAGCTGACTCTTCAGTCTGAGCGTCAGATGTCTGTTTGTCTGGTTCTCTGACTGACTGAAGCTCACACACATCAACTAACTAGATAAAAGTGATAATCGCCTCAACCACAGGTTTAACATTAGAGAGAAATCGCATGACTCTGAAAGGGGAAATAAAGCTGCACCGTGTTCTCTATTTCAGTTCATTAAAGTGGAGATCCTGGTTCTAGGTCTGAATTTGGGACTCAGGTCTAGTCTGGTCTCTGAAGGTCTAGACTCGAATCTGATCTCATGATAACTGGACGATGAATTAGGCAAAGTTTGAAGATCCTGACCTTCCCTTTCTTTATTGTTTATAGCTGATAATTTGTTGAAATGAGTCACAGACAATGTGTTTCTCACTGATACTGACCTGATACTGACGGTCTCTGCTAACCTGCTAACAGCAGCAATTCTATTCCCAGCCTGGAGATCACATGACTCGTCTAAACTAGAGGAGACTAAATATAAACCAACTTCATCTAGTGAAGAACCAGTGCTGGTTTGTGTCAGTTCTTCATAAACTTCCTTCATTCAGTACCTCTTCATCATTGGACTCGTCCTCATCTTCCTCCAGGAAGGGGTTAAAGGTTGCGGGCTGGCGGTGTGAATGAGCGGATGGAGCCGGAGCCGGAGGAAGACGATACCAGGGACCCGGATCAACCAGCTTCATCCAGGGATGTTCCTTACGAACAATGCTCTGAGACGAGACTGAGACCAGAACGAGAAAAACACACGAGACAATGGTAATAATGATATCTCCAAATAAATTAAATAAGATGGTTGTTTTAGTAAGTGTGAACTCTTTCAACTCAAAAATGCTTCTATGCATATATTCCTTTATATAGTTTTAATTTATTCAATATTATGTATTTCATGTTTTCTGTCCTATTCACATGGATGCTCACAAATAACACTCAACAAAAAACAGTAAAACAACAAACTCGGCTAATCATTAGTAAACGTGACGACAAAATTATTGACAACAAATAAATGCATTAATCATTAATTATCACTGAACAGCTACTCTAAATGTGTAAGTAGTTTTGGCTCATCCAATCAGAATGTAGAGCTTAAACTGTCTGTTTGATGATGTTTACACTGTAACAATAGTAAGTGTAATATTGTAACACAGGGATGAAGATTCTAACCGTTGTCAAGGCGATGATCCGGTGATCTGGGGGCGGGGTGAGGAGGTTCCTGAGGCTCCGCCCTCTTTCTGGGAGCAGGTTTGGGAGGTTCTTGTAGATCAGTCTCTGATGAGGTGGAGAGATGTCCATCATTCACCACGTCTCCATCGGTCTCTCTCCTGTCTCCATCCGTCTCACAGGTGTCGTTCTGTGAGTGATCTGCGGGCCGGTCATTTTCAGGAGCAGGTCTGCAGGGATAACTGCACTGCAGTGAACCCGTCTCACTGTCCACTGTGAAAGAGATCGGCAGCAGAGCGCGACGACAGCGACTGCATCTGAAACACACCGGGAGACAATCAGGACATGACTAGAGACATTTGACTGGTCCTCACTAGTTAAAAAGCCTTTTAAACTCAGCCAAAATCGATTTTATTTAAATCTGTTTCCATTTAAATCTTGTGTTTTGCACAGGCTTCTGTGATGGGTACGTTTAGGAGTTGGGTTAGGCCATAAAAATATCACTAACCTGATATAAAAACAATGGAAGTTATGGAAGTATATGCAATGTCTTCACTAATAGTGAAACAAACACGTGTGTGAGAGACAGAGAGTGTGTATTTAGAAAGAGAGAGAAAGAGTGAGTGTGTTGTGACACTTGTGTGTGTGTGAGTGTGTGTTTTACCTGAAGCAGGAGCGGTGATACAGGCGTCCCTTCACCAAAACCCTCTGAATGAGATGAACACATGTGTGACAGACACTACAAACTCGCTTATCGGAAGACCTGATCACATCTGATGAGAACTGAGAGAATGACAGCAGAGAGATGAATTATCAGACAGACGGACGGACAAGTAGATGGGCAGACAGACAGACTAGTGGACAAATGGACAGACAGGCAGGCAGACAGACTAGTGGACAAATGGACAG